AGTAGTAGTTTGGTTTTGCTCCCCCCGGGCAGGAGGGGGCAGGTGACCGCACCGAAGCAAAAGCGCGGCAGTCACAGCGGCGCGTGTGTCAGTCGGTCGCTCTGAGAGACTGCTGGGGTCCGCGCGCCAGCGGGGGTCGCCGGATGTGCACGTGTCCGCTTCTTGTACAAATATCCGTGAGCAGCGCATTCCGGCCAAGAGAGGCGTACCATCTATGTAATGGGCGCTGTTGTTCTCCTTGTAGCAAGGAAGACAACGACCCCAAGACCTCGAGGCAAATGGCCAGAGCGCCCAAAGAGCTGACGAACGACGACCACCGCATATCCCAAATCAAGTCAGGTTGGCACAGTGCAGGGATTGGGCCTAGCAGCGGCAGCGCCAGCAATGGCGATGTGGGATGCAAAAGTTTTCTGAGTGGCGGTGGGAATGGTTGGAATCGGTTTGTTACAACGGTTGTTTTCTTCCGCATCCCTTGCTCTTTCCGGAATCACTCGAAGTGGTGCTGGAAGAGTACCTTCCGCGGACCCTGCGACTACAGAGTCCAAATGTATGCTCCAAAGCCGAAGCCCAGAATGATCCGAGAGGAGGAACGCTTCATGGATGAATGAGTATGTACAGCGCTGCACCAAGTTGCAACAGGTGCTTCATGAAAGGTTTGCTGAGATCGCACAAATGGAAGATGCTCTGACAGAAGTCCGAGTTGAAAGCCGGGTGTTGCAGGACAATTTGAGTAGGATGGAGAGGCGCACTCGCGCCAGAACAGATTTTGTTTTCCCCAACGCCTCTTTTCCGCTTGCCAACGGTGCCCGAGCTCCGAAGTCTTGCGCAGAGCTAGGGCAGCTACGAAGCCAGCACGCCACCCTGAAGAAGAGACGGTTCGACTAGCACGGGGCGGAAAGCTCGCGGGCACAGGTTTAATGTCACGAGCATCCGCCAGCAGCAGGTCAGCCGAAGGTAGCACTGTGCCTTCGCGTTCTTACGCTCGGGAGCGCAGAGCAGGCGACAGCGCGTTGCAGGGCGACGGACAAGACGCTCCACCAACGGCGGTCCCAGCCTGTGCCGCGGACGCGCGCTAGGGGGGTGGGGCGCGCTGGACGCGAAACCAGAGCAGGATGCGAAGGAACTGCTGGCACTCGTCGTTCCAGTCCAGCGGCCCCCGACCTCAGCGGCGAGCACGACGAGCCGCTGCGGGCCGCCCCGCGTGAGTTCCGGGTAGCGTGCGACTTTGCGCCGGCGGCCCGCGTCTTGGGAGACCCCCGCGCGCGCGTCAGCCCCATGTACTGGGCGGCCTGCGCGAGTGAGGGGGGACACAAGTGTCGCATCGCAACACAAAGCCTCCCCAGTGGTCGTCGCCCCGTACTCCGGACCAACCGCTTCGCGAGCGACCTGGACCTACGCGCGCTCGACTACGAAGCCACGCCGTGGCAACAAGCCTGTGCGAGGGCAGGCGAGGTGGTCGTCGCCGTGGGCGTCGACCTCAGCTCCGCAGCCGTGCCGACCTTGAGCGCCGCAGCGCCGCCCCGTCAAGGGCAAGGGTAGCCGGAGCCGGGCCGGAGCCGGCGCCTCAGTGCTACGTGCATGAGGTCGGGCATGAGGGTGGAGGCAGCATGCGAAGGGGTCGCCGCCAGCCACATCCGCGCATGCGGGTTGGTAGCAGCACGCGCATCCTCGAGCCCCGCGAGAAAAGCAGCAGCTCCAGGACGAGGCCCCGAGCGAGGAGCACATCGAGGCTTTGGCGGAGGCTTTCTTTTCCTTGGGTGCACTGCGGCCCAAGGGCCAGATGACTTTGAAGTTGGAGGAGGAGTGGCGGGCAGCCTTGCGTCGCAGAGTGACTGCGAAGGTGGGGGCTTCGGAGAAAGCCACTATCCGTGGTGCCCTCCTGACCTGGTCGGAGCTTCAGGTGCATATGGCTGATCGAGGGAGGGGTTTTCCCCCCGATGATGTGGGGCCTCAAGTGGTTGACCAAGGCGGTTGGCCTATTGCACATCCTCTGCGCGGCGGTGGGTGGGCTTCTGGACTTGAAGTCGCGGGGCGTTATCCCACAGTCGGCGCTTATTCGGGCAGTTCTTGGTGGTGTGACCGCGATGGATGCCGAGCTTAAACGTGAATAGCATACATTGTGGCAGGCTCCTGCTCGTGTGGCTGAGGTACAGCCGCGCTTTAACCTCCCACCTGCTATTCCGCTCCTGCTGGCTTCTGAGAACAGGATGCTCCGGCAGCTCCGTGGGAAGCGTTTGTCGGCTGCTCTGCGGGATGGAAAGACTTCGTGTGCGGCTTTCCAGCGGGACCGGTGCATCGGTGGTGATGGGTGTGAGGCCGGTCGCCATCGCTGCGCCGTGATGCTTCAGTCTGGCAGGGTGTGTGGGGGTACGCAAAGTGCATCGACCTGTCGGTCCAAGCTGCTCTTCAGGCTCCGTCGTCTCCTGTGAAGGTTGGTGCGCGGCCCAAGTCTTCGGCGGTGGTGCTTCGTGCGAAGAGTGCACCCCCAGGAAGTCGAAGAAGCAGTGGATCGACCTCGAGGCCAAGCCGGTGACTCCGACCAAGGCACCCAAGGCGAAGAAGAGGCCGCAGGCTGCACAGTCGGACCTTCCCCCTCTGAAGCCCCCGCTGAGCCCAAGACGCCGCCCAGGCAGCTGGTGCGAGGGAGCCGGCATCGCCACCGCCGGGTTACGGCGTGGAGGATCGTGGACAGACAGGCGACGATCCTCGGACCAGAGCAGATGTTTGACCGGCTCGCGAATTTAGGGGGGCCGTTCAGCCACCTACTCGCTTGTGGACTGGCCGTGGAGGTGGCGAGCTCTGGCTTTCTGGACTGCCCACCCGTGACAACATGCAGGCTCTTCCGAATGCCCTGCAGCTCCAGGTCTCCCTGACGGACCCGAGGAGGCGCGACGCTCAATGGCGAGATGCTTGGCGACCCTCTACACGGCGGGCTCCCTGTCGGGGCACTGTATGGCTGGTCGCCACCGTTCTCTCCTTGGTGTCGGACATGTTGTTTGGGGAGGGCAAGCTTTGGAGGGCAAGATGCGTCAGGTGCAGATCTACAAGGTCCTGCCGCAGAACACGGTGGGCGACTGGATCAGGCAGGTGCGATGCAATGCTACCACCGGAGTGGTGTGGCCCACCCCATCAGATATTTCTTTACAGACCGCTCTCAGATTCATTTTAAGGTGGGGGACGGGATCCCCTTGACGCAGCGCCTCGTTAGGACAGAGGCTGCGCAACTACACCGCGGTGGAGACCGTAACGGAGGCCCAGGGGTATGATCGCCCCTTTTGCCGGGATTGCCTGCAGCGCGCGGCTGCGAAGTTCCACCCCAAGTGATGGGGTCGAGGTGATCTGACGGGCAGCCCGAGTTGGGCATGGCGCGTGATACTTCCGCTGGCTTTTTGCCGGGACCCTCGCAGGTGCCACTCTTTCTAGGGCTCCAGGGTGGGCATAGCGGCATAGAGCCTGCCTTATCGTCCCTTCCGGCCGGCCGCCACCTGTGAAACAGTGAGATCGATCTGCATTGTCTGTGGAGTGTCTGCAGAGTGTTGCGGATAGGTCGCATGTGCGGCATGTGCTCTTGTGTGTCTTGAGCTGTTCATGCCCTGTCACCTTTCCCCTCTACCCTTCCCTCCTCTCCAGCAGTCCTTCCAGCCGCAGCAGCCCCAGCCCTCCAGCCCTTGCCTTCACCCGGTGTTTTTGGCACCAAAACCAGGCACCAAAACCACGGTGAAGGCAACGGCCGCTTGCCTTCACCATGTGTTTTTCGGCACCAAAACCATGGTGAAGGCAACGGCCGCCTTCACTGTGTCTTTCTGGCACTATAACTATGATGAAGGCAACGGCCGCTTGCCTTCACAGTGTGTTTTTGGCACCAAAGCCATGGTGGATGCCTTCACAGTGTGTTTTTGGCACCAAAACCATGGTGAAGGCAACGGCCGCTTGCCTTCACCGTGTGCTTTTGGGGTTTTGGTGAAGACAACGGCCGCCGCTTGCCTTCACCGTGTGCTTTGGGCACCAAAACCATGGTGAAGGCGACGGCTGCTTGCCTTCACCGTGCGTTTTTTGCTGGCCGGGCTGAGGGGCTGGAGGGAAGGCTGGAGAACTGGCTGAGGGCTGGAGGCTGGATGGTGAGGCTGGAAGGGCTGGGAGGGGCTGGAGGAGGGCTGGTGGAGGGCTGGAGGGCTGGAGGTTGGAGGGTGGGAGGTGTTTTGCGATATTCTGCGGTAAGGCTGGTACATGGCCAAGTCATCAGCGATACAAGCGGTTCGGTTTGCGATACACTGCGGTTTGCGATAAAACTATTGTTGAAACAGCCATGTGTATGACACATTTTAACCGTCTGTGAACATACGTTGCTACATATTTGCTGCATATTTGCTTCATGTGTGTATCTGCAAACAATGGGTCGCTGCCATGTGCATTGGAGGTGTAGAATAGCAAACTAATCAGCCACATGTCTTATTTTGCATGCAATTCGCAACGGATGGCCGCTCACCCCTTAATCTGACACGGCCGCAAACGCAATTCAGAGGAAGGTGCTTCTTCGTCGGAGGCAAAGTGCAGAAAACAGCAAACAACAATTACGTGAGAATGATGTACTTGTTATACAGTATAAACAGCCGGCAGAATGGCCCATGATGTTTGGGTCACCCGCGAGGCCTGGAGCTGAAAAAGTACGCGTCGTCCCGTGTCCATGTGTCGATTACGCAGGCCTTTTCATGATCTGCAGGGCGGACCTGATCCAGAGGCTGGCGGTCGTCGCGTTTCGCATGCTTTTTCCGCTGCCCACTGAGCAAGCCAGGTCAAAATCGTCAGCCAGACCCTCAAGCGTACTGTGTCCCCATGTAATATGGAAAAGAGGCAGCACATCACGTGCACGCCGCCTTCGAGTGCATCACCTCGGGGCCAGTGTTGCGGCCTTCAGTAGCCATTAGACTTGCTAGACAGCTTAACTGTTGGGTTCCTTTGCCGAGGCTTCTTTTGGCTTGCAAGTTGGTCATTTAATGTAATTAAGAGAGTCAGTTGAGTCAGTCAAGTGCGAAGGTAAGTTCTGAAATCTGCGCCGAGTTCGCGCCGGAAGGTCCAGGCTGCTTACGAGTTGAAGGCAAGCCTCGGGCGAGGAGGTGTCGGCCGTGTGGTGCAGGCCCTTCGCAGCTTCGCAGCTTCCTTTCGGTATCACATCGTTTTGGGTGGGAGTTGGGAATCCCCTGAGGCGACCTGCCGGCGAACACAGATCACCAGAGCTGTCAAGATCACAAGCCAAAAGTCTGATCCGTCAGGTGGCAGAACTCATCACTGATGCTCTGAACATGCGTGTCTCCACGGAAGGTTTCGAGGTGTCTCTGATGAGCAAGTTGGACCATCCGAATGTCGTGCGTCTCTTCGAGACCTTCGTTGAGGCTCACAGTTTGTCCTCGCTTCTTTGTGCGCAGCTCGTGCAGTGATGGCAGGAGTCCCAAGGCCAGATACACTTGGTCATGGAGCTTTGCGCAGGCCTCTCTCAAATCCCTTGCCCTAGCCACCTAGCCGTGTCGAGCTTTGGCGAAGAAGGAGGTGCGTTGCCCAGCTATGCCCGGGAGTTCTGGCCTCCCCTGGAAGAGGCCCTATAGAACAGCCGGGGTCTGGCCCGGAGCGGCATCGAGTGATCTGTCGTTCAGGCTGCAGGGGCCGTGATCATGCAGCGGCCTCCAGCAGGGAGGTCGTAATTGCGCTTGCCACAGAATGCATGCACTGGCCCAGGTGGCAGCTGCTCGGGGCGGTGAACTACCTCCACAAACAGTCGCTGAGCCACGGGGACATCTGCCCTGCCAACGTACCCTGGAGAAGAATAAGCATGCCTTGTGGTCATGTCATCGCTTTTACGCGGTGTCCAAGCTGTGGAGGTCCTTATGCTCCACTTCGACCGACCGCCTGAGCAGAACGTGGCGCAGAAGAGTCATAAAGTGCTGGGAAAGGTTCCACGTTTTCGGCCTCTGTTGAGGTCACGAAGCTCATCGACTTCGGAGCGCACGCAGGGCGTCGGACGCACGATCTTCCTTCCTCTGGCTTGGTCATGAGAGTGGCTTGCCGGCAGCGCGGCTGCTCTTCCGTGTCGCTGCGTCTGGTCTGCAGGCTTTGCTGGGCTGGTGCTCCGGAATGAAGGGTGCCTCTCTGCGAGAAGCCCCCGTGATGAAGAAGGCGGGCCTGTGGCTGCTCCGGGACCTCACAATGCCATTCTCATGGCGCCTGCAGTCTTTGGAAAGGGGCTTTGTTGAGTTGCCGTGCCTTCCCTTCGTCGCTGCTGTCGCTAAGCCGCTGGCTCCGGCTCCGTTTCCCCGCTGTCTGCGAGGGCCAAGCGGCGGTCTACAGCGAAGGGGGCCTCGGTGTGCCCATCAGCAAGGCCGCGGGGGAGCTCCTCGCGCGCTTCGCAGGCGCTGGCGGGGGGGGGGGGGCGGCGGGGTGGAGGCGGGCATCCGCCTTCTCCTTTCCTGGAGAGAGAGAGCTCAAACCCCAAGCCGAGTTTAGGGTCTTTTGGGTTTCTGAACCCTAAACCCAAAAAAGGAGCTTATAAACCCCTAAACCCAGGATTTAGGCCTCCACTTCGAAAGCCCTGGGCCAGTAGACACCTGCATCATGCACATCGGCTGGTAACAGCGCATCCTCATTGCATGGAGATGTTTGTTTCTTTGTGGTTCAGAGGCTTAGTTCCTGTCCCTCTTCAAGCACAAAAGAAGCCGGTTTGCAGCACTGAAAGAATTGCCATGAAACCCTTCTGAAATGTATTCAAGGCCACTTTCTGCAAACTTTGACTTCCGTGTATGTGAGTTTGCGATGCGAGCGTTGAACTTTATACAGATCAAAGGCATCGCACAGTGTTGTCTTCCAGATTTGTAAACCCCCAATCCCAGGCTAAGCAAGCGTTGCATTGGATTCATTCCAATTGACATGTTCTCGGCACGATTCGACGGCGGGAGACGTTTCCGGAGCAAAGTTTCCCGTGTTGAAGCACGCGCCGCACAATCTTCAAAAGACATTGGGTCGAGGACATTTGGGATACTTGTGGCTGTGGAATTGCGCGTTTGGGAAGGCGAATTTTCTGTTCGGCTAGAACTGGACAGGTAGACAGTAGACATCACATATCTCGAAAAATGCCAGCTTGAGAATTCATTCCACCTCGCTCTTTAGCTTCGCAATGCTTGTGTTGATTTGTAGTTGCTTGCCGGTTGAAGCAATCCAACCCCTCAAACTTGGAGCTTTGAGTGCAGTTCGGGATCACATATATATCTTGAAGGGCTCACAAGGTTTACGTTAGGGATACTTGTATCGGACCAAGCGGCACAATATGCCGGACCCTCACGTCCTCGCATATCCGAAATTCAACACAGCGTGCCAAGTGGAAACCCTTTGCATGTTGAAACATGTTACGCGTCGGTCAACATAGGAGGCCGAGGCTCGGAGAACTACGGTCGTGGAAGCCGTAGTGTAGTAATGGCGTCGCACAAGGCATCTGCACGATAAGGCAGCGCGAACAGTTCATGCTAGAGTTTGTCGTGATAAGCAAGGGGATGATGTCGTTAAGAACCACAGTAACCACAGTGCAAGCATGCATGTATGTATGTTTGTTTTCGAGCCGGTGAATGAGTGTATATGCAATGTACGCATATCTATATTCTATATATACATACACATGCACATACACAGTATCACAGATGGATATATAGAAAATTCACGAAATCACGTACCACAAGGCACAAGCACAAGCATGAATGTGTCAGTACATACAAGCATACGCACCTAACTATGTACACCCAAGCAAGCAAGCAAGCAAGAGAGAGAGAGAAAGGTAGACTTTAGGCTCTAGCCTTCATGATGACCCATACTCGTTCTTCACTCCCCGTTGCCCAATAAACACTATTGGGTGGGCCCTTCGGCCCGGGGACGCTGACCCGTCCCCATGCCCTGGAGAGACAGAAAGAGAGAGGAAGGGGCAACCTTCGTCCGTAGCCCTGGCGAAAGAAAGAGGAAGGGTTGGACGTCCACGGGGGAAATCTAGTGTTGGCTCATGTTTTCGTAACTGCCTAGTTTTGTTCATCTTGCATTTCTCTGAAATCCCAAGTGACGTCGTGGTGTCCCAACAGGAACTGTAACAGTGCCTCGGGGAACTCCTATCATGCTAAAAACTTGTTTTCCTTACTCCCCCAACGGCACTGCTTCCGCACTGGGCAAACATCTTTTCACACCCTCCGAAGCTTCCGAAAGCCCCAATAACAATATATTACAATTGGGGGGCACCCCTCATGCCCTGGGGAAGAAGAAGGGAGAGAGGGAGAGAGCGGGAGAGAGCGGGAGAGAGCGGGAGAGAGGGAGAGAGAGGGACAGAGAGGGAGAGGGAGGGGGGGAGAGAGAGAGAGAGAGAACAAAAGAAAGAGATGGGGATGAGAGGGCTGCAAGGCGTCAGAGACTGGATGTCGACAATGTCGACTCGACTTGAAGCGATGTCCTTCTTCAGGCTCCGAGACCGACGCGGCCTTCACTGCCGAAAAGGCCCTGTGCCACACCTGGTTCATCCGCGCAAGGCCAGAAGAGAGAACCTCCGTGACTGGCTTCCTCTCTGTAACTTGTCAGGCACGGAGAAGTTCCGCTGCGCAAGGCGACTTCCAAGCGAGGCGGGGAGGAAGTTTCTTTGTGCAAGCAGCAGCTGGTCGAGGAGTTTCTGGCTGCGAGGTGCGAAGCCCGAGGGCAGCACGCCAAGAAGTGACGCCGATGGGTCAAAAGAGGCAGGCTCACATGGCAAGAAGGACAAAGAAAGTGGTAGCAGCTTGACTGCAAGCAGACATGACATCCCATGCGCCGCTTTGTTGACACCTGCATGTTCAGGACGAGACAGGAACAAAGAGACCAAGCCGAGGCGTGAGCGAGCAAGGGAAGAGCGCGAGCATCTGTGTTATTTTGCGTTCGCGTTCGCGTACGCGCGTTTTTTGCAAGGAGCGACAAGAAGGGCGATGGAACTCGTAGCGGCGGAAGGGGCGAGAGCTCTACAGGGAATCGGAAGCATTTAGCACTTGGAGCCGTGGAAGAAAAGCCCGTGACAGCTGCAGGGCTCGGACCTAAGTGCCGCTCCCCCTTTCAGCGGACCGCAGCTCTGTTTTTGCGGCAAGTTGCCATGGCGCTCAGGTGGTGGGGTTCGCGAGCGGAGCTCCCGCAGAATTTCGTGGCACGGCTGCGCGCTTTCTGCAACGTCAGCAGCGTCTCCAGGGCCATTCTACTCCTGGCGGCCGACTGTTTGGAGGAGGAGCCAGAAGCCAGGGGGGGGTGGGTGAGGGGGGGTTCAGGGTGGCCAGGCCTCAGGGTGCCATTCCTGGAGCGAAGCCGCTTGCAGGAAGCCCTGGCACCACTGCGGGCGGCCTTCCAGCGCTTGGACGGCTGGTGCCCGGACGGCCTGCTGACCGTGCGCCCCTGAGTGACGAAGCCACAAGAGCACTCAGATGAGCAAAGACGGGGCTGGGGCCTTGACGAGCATCTGAGTGACTGAGGAGGAGGACTTGAGGCACCGGCTTCCAAAGTTGGGCTGTGAGCCCCACAGCCTTCCTCACACCAAATCGCCTCAAAGGCTCCCTTTTAATTGACTTCCGCTCAGGCAAGGATGCCCCGAAGGACTTGGACCGCTTGCTTCTGGAGGCAGCTCCGCGCCACCGGGACGCGCCATGCCAGTATCAACGTGAAATGGACGAAACATGACTCGCATGCTTTCTGCATGCAGCTTTTGGCAAGTTCTCAGGCATAACAAGAAGGTACGATGTAGGCTTAGGCATATTGCGCTTCATCTGAGATGCAGAACGTCGGAGCCGAAATGGAGAGACAGAACCTAACTTGTCGGAAAACGGGCAAGCCCTCTCTCCTTCAAAGCTGCGTCCTTAAGGTTGCGCGAGTGGCGCATTCACCGCCTCCCGACCACTGCCCCACGCGAAAGCTACGTAGGTACAGCTGAAACATGGCGAAGCGGTCTCTGAGCCATGTGGCGCAGAGGAGTACCACCCGCCACTCAGACCCACCGTCGGTGTTCCACATGAGGGCACAGCACGGAGAAGGAAAAAGACGAAGAGGAACTAAGCGAATGCCAGCGGCCGGAATGAATCTGGCCTGATGGTCTGACGCATAGAAGCCCGCGTCCGCGCGCGCGCGTGAAGCCATGTGCGCCTGCAGAGGCCGACGTGGATGGGGTGGGGCTGTTGGACTACACCACGTTCCTCGCCATTGCCATGGGTGCTCAGGAAGGGATCCACGTGGAGCGGAGAGAAGCGGTGTGTAGACCGGTGCGCTGGGAGGAGCTGCTCTCCAGCGAACTTGGCCAAAGAGTCTTCAATGTTCTCGATCGAGACCAGGCCACAACGCAAGGCCGCAAGCGTGGTCCTGCGACTGACTTGAGACTCAGGACGGCATCATCTCCGTGGCTGATCTGGCTGCTTTCCTGGGCCGTGACAGGGCTGTCGAGTGGTCGCCACTGGGTTACTTTGCCACTGCCTTTGCGCAATGCGGCAATGCAGGACGAGACACAGCTGTCATCCGGGCTTGCGCCACTGACCTTCGAAGGCGCACTGACTCTAGCCACTTGTGCAATGTAGCCAACATCTCCCATCGCAGTTCCAGGTTTCCAGACACTTCTGACAGACCTGGCCAAGCGCCAGGAAACCTTCGGGGAACCGTTGTGGCTTGGCTCAGGGGGCGGACAGACCATGGTCTTTTTTCGCAGACTGTCTTCAATTTCACATGCCGAGTTTGCTTGCTGTTGTTTGTTTGCTTGCTTGCTTGCTTCTCGCTTCTTGCCTTCTCCTGATGCCTTGCATAACTCGCGGTGAAGAAGAAGACATGTCGATCTGTTAGAATGCATTGAAAGAGAATGTTTTCGCCGTTCCTCATGGTGTAAAGTCTGATAGCTGTCCAAACTAATTCCGGCCTTCCAAGCATGTTGAATAACTTCAAAGCGGATAGTTGCTTACATCCAAATTGGCCTTGCGGCAAAGCTTGGTGGCCAGCTTTCCAAAAAGCAGCTTTTGTTTCAGTCGGAATGCTCCGTGCAAGCTCCGGCACCCTCGTTTCGGAGACAACGGCAGCTGGGTCGGAGGGTTCCTGCTCCCACTCCTTTCGTTGAAGTAGGCGGAGCCTTTGGAGATGTCATGCGCGACACCGGAGGAAAGAGCCTATTGCTCCTAGGGCCCTAGGGTTTAGTTACTGGGGCACCGTAGGGCGTTGGTGATCCACAGATCTGAGGTCGGAGGTGCAGCATGTCTTGTCCTCCGCAGCTGTGGAGCGGCTTCAACTGGCAATGGAAACGGTTTCAGGACTGATCGCAGTGCTTTCGCTTGTCTTTCCCCGTCTCGATGTCAGGACTGGCTTTTGGTGAACGATCTGAAACCATCAAGGCGCGGAGGAGGGGCGAGGGGCGAGGCCCTGTGAGAGCGACGTTTCTTGCCGCACTGAGGCCAAGCGCCGCCTTGCGGATGCCGCAGCGAAAAAGCGCCCGGAGCTTTGGCTGAGATCCCAAGTCCCCTACCACTTAGAATCCGCATGCTTCCAGGCCTTGCCACGGAAGAGCGGCGCCGAAAGGAGAAGTCGAGGAGGCGAAGGAGCAGCAAGCGCGGGAGAGAGAGAGAGAGACCCCAAACGCCGTGCAAGCAAGCAAGCAAGATAGAGATTTCGACAATCCCGCACAACGATTCATCCGAGCCTCCGGCAGGGTACACACCGTGCGGGTTTCGCCCCATACCTGTAGCTGACCTTCTGGAACAAGGCACCCGACGTCACCGCACCTGAGCCACCTGCCCTCAATGATCAACGTGCACCGAGCTAGTATGCTCCGTCATGTCCTCATTCAGTTTGTTGCGAAAAGTTGAGAACGAGCTCATCGCAGAGTGGAGTAGTAATGTTATCACCTATGCGTATGTGCTCACGATGCCCATGCATCGACCAGCTTGTGTATGCGCAGCGCAGCCCTTATAGCCTTATAGTGTGTGCGCTTGTGTCTATCTATTCATGTGACTTCGCAGTGTTTTCGAGGATCTCGAATTGCTTCCCCCCTGGCTCGTCTCTGTGCATGTGCTTGTTTCGACCTGGCTTCAAACACCGGTACTCATCCACTGCTGGCGGGGTGAGGATATCGGAAAACAAAGGGCGAAATCAACAAACAAATTCGGAAAACACTGCGGGGGATTTGCGAGAACGGCCGGTTAGGCTCACAAAACCGGAATCAGAAAACAACGAAGACGATATCAGAAAACAGCCCAGAACCAGAAAGCAAAATCAGAAACCAGGAAGGAGAAAGTCAAAAAACGGATGTAACAAAAAAATCAGAAAACAAAAAAAGTCCCTATACGACCCTAAACCTTCAACAAATTCTGCCCTGACTTTGCACGGTGGTTCTTCTACGACCTCTTCTTGGCAGACGTGGACTAGCACGAGGCGCAGCCTGGCCGCGGGGAAGGCCGCGCTCCTTTCACCCCTCGGGTTTTGGCCACAAACCGAAAGGTGAAGGAAGGCCGCGCTCCTTTCACCTCTCGGTTTTGGCCACAAACCGAAAGGTGAAGGAAGGCCGCGCTCCTTTCACCCCACTTGTTTTGCCCACCAACCGGGAGGTAAAGGAAGGCCGCGGTCCTTTCAACCGAGTGGTGAAGGAAGGCCGCACTCCTTTCACGCCTCGTTTTTACCGAGAGCTGAAGGAACGCCGCGCTCCTTTCACCCCTCGGTTTTGGCCACAAACCAGGACGTGAAGGAAGGCCTTGGTGCTTCACGCCTCGGTTTTGGCCACAAACCAAAAGGTGAAGGAAGGGCGTGGTCCTTTCATCGGGCTTTAGCCACAAACCGAGAGGTGAAGGAAGGCCGTGGTGCCTCGGTTTTGACCACAAACCGAGAGGTGAAGGAAGGGCGTGGTCTTTTCACCCCTCGATCTTGGCCCCAAACCGAGAGGTGAAAGAAGGCCGCGGTCCTTTCACCTTTCGGTGTTGGCTACAAACCGAGAGGTGAAGGAAGGCCGCGCTCCTTTCACCCCTCGGGTTTTGGCCACAAACCGAGAGGTGAAGGAAGGCCGCGGTCCTTTCACCCCTTTGTTTTGGCTACAAACCGAAAGGTGAAGGAATGCCGCGCTCCTTTCACCCCAGTTGTTTTGCCCACCAACCGGGAGGTAAAAGAAGCCCTCGTGAAGGAAGGCCGCGCTCCTTTCACCCCTCTGGTGTGGCGTCCTTTCATCGGGCCGTGGCCACAAATCGAGAGGTGAAGGAAGGCCGCGCTCCTTTCACCCTTCTTTTTGCCCACAAACCGAGACGTGAAAGAAGGCCGCGCTCCTTTCACCCCTCCGTTTTGGCCACAACCGAAAGGTGAAGGAAGGACGCGCTCCCACAAACCGAGAGGTAAACGAAGGCCGCTCTCGTTTCACCCACACATGAGAGGTGATCACCCCTTCGGTTTTGGCCACAACCAGGAGGCGAAGGAAGGCCGCGCTCCTTTCACCCCTTTGTTTTGGCGACAAATCGAGAGGTGAAGGAAGGCCGCTCTCCTTTCACCCCTCTGTTTGGGCCACAAACCGAGAGGTGAAGGAAGGCCGCGCTCCTTTCACCACAAACCGAGAGGTGAAGGAAGGCCGCGGTCCTGTCACCCCTCGGTTTTGGCCACAAACCGAGAATTGAAGGAAGGCCGCCCTCCTTTCACCCCTCTGTTTGGGCCACAACCCGAGAGGTGAAGGAAGGCCGCGCTCCGTTCACCCCTCTGTTTTTGCCCACAAACCGGGTAAAGGAAGGCCGCGCTCTTTTCACCTTTCTGTTTTGGCCACAAATGAGAGGTGAAGGCAGGCCGCAGTCCTTTCACCACAAACCAAGAGGTGAAGGAAGGCCGCGGCCCTTTCACCCCTCTGTCTTGGCCACAAACCGGGAGGTGAAGGAAGGCCGTGCTCCTTTCACCCCTCGGTTTACTGTTTTGCCCACAAACCGGGAGGTGGAGGAAGGCCGTGCTCGTTTCACCCCTCTGTTTTGGCCACAAATCGAGAGGTGAAAGAAGGCCGTGCTCCCTTCACCCCTCTGTTTGGGCCACAACCCGAGAGGTGAAGGAAGACCACGCTCCTTTCATAGTTTTAGCCACAAAGCGACAGGTGCAGGAAACCCGCAGTAGTTTTTGGCCACAGATCGAGAGGTGAAGGAAGGCCGCGCTCTTTTCACCCTCGGTTTTGACCACAAACCGAAAGGTGAAGGAAGGACACGCTCCTTTCACCCCTCGGTTTTGGCCACAAACCTAGCAATGCAGAGCGGCGCTTCTGTACAGAAGTCCAAGAACAGGAGAATTCTCACGCGAGTTATTGCAGTGCGTCCGCTTTCCTGATTTCGGCTGTCTGTTTTCCGACCGGTGTTTTCCGATATCGTCCGATTCGTTTTCGAATTTGCTTTCTGATTTCCTCGCTGACGTTTCCCATGAAGCTTCCCAGGTGATTCGCGAGCAGGCTCAGAAGTCTCAGACTGTAAGTTACACGTGTTATCATAATTCGTGGTCTCTCCAAGGCTATCGCATCACATGCTGAATCCTGACACCCGTGGAATTCAGAATCCTGGCGATTCCTCGACTGCACAAGCATACTGATGGCACAAGGAGCGGGGGTGGGAATGTCGAAGCCGCCCCGGGCTTCTCGTCAGTGTTTCTGAGTGGATTGACCCAAAGTCTTGCATTTGGTTCTGTCCAACTTTAGCCCCACTTTGTGCTTCGCCAGATCTGACATGGCAGGTTCCACAGGCAGAACGAAGCCAAACAAATTATGCCGGAGTCTCCATGCCTGACCGGCCCTTAAAGCCTTGAACAACGTAAAGAGAACCACGGCGACCATGACCACCGTGAGTCATTGACCATTCGCGCGACGGTCCAGAACCACAGGGTTCGCGACCACATTGACCACCATGTCCGAATTGGCCAATCAACCATTGCACATGCTCTCCATGGACGCTCCTCGTAGTTTGTCGCGCCTGGCTTATGTAGGAGCAGTCCTTGCGTCGGACCACTTCGTCCACTTCGATCGTCATACCAAATCGCTTGTGCTTGATGCGAGCGAAAGCTCCGAAAGAAAGGTCCTTGTCTTCCGAGTTCCCAAACCCACATCCCTGCAGCGACATGCCCAGAACTTTGTAACCGGACCACCTACCTCGACCAACGGGCCCACCAAGACCACTTCCCCAGGAATCCGAGGCAGGACCCCAAGCTGAACACGGTTGGGGGAGAAAGCCCGTGTTTAAAGGATGTGAGAGCCACGGGCATCGGAGAGTACCCGGAGAGAGCGCAGAAGGAGGGCCGATTTTCCAGAGACGACGCAGGAAAGTCCTGCCTTTGGAGGGCCCTGGCCAGCGGGATGTGCGTGCAGAGGCGCAGAGCAGACACGTCTTGCCGTTTTTGCCTTGTGTCGCCTTGCAAGGCAGACCCTGTCGCGATGAGCCTTCTCGTGGAAGACAGCAGTGCCCCGAATGCATTGTGAGGACATCTAGGCGGCTCTTATCTGGCTCTCAGCAAAGTAGAGAAGTGCAAGCAGTGCAGGTGACGGCGATGGCGGCGACGTCGGTGAGGGTGATTCTGCTACACCCTCCGAGCCCTCTCAAGCGCAGTCGCACGCCTCGCATTCGGATGTGGGAAGCCGTTCCGCGGCCACCAGCACCGCAAGCGACCCGGTCTTCGTCGAAAGAGTCGACGAATCGGAGCCCGGGCGCGCCGGGCTCCGACCTGAAACTCGTCCTCCTCCTCGCCGTCGTGACATCCAACGCCTCACGGTGAGTTTGTAGCCTCCGTTTCACCAGAAATTTCAGCAGGCCTGCCGCTGATCGATCCAAAAAGGCACACAAGGATGTCGTGCGGAGGGAACCTGGAAGTGCTATGAAGTGCTACAAGCTAGAGCTAGAAGGGCTGGAGGCCCTGTACTGCCATAAGGTGTTGAAAGTGGTGTGCAAAAGACCCGTTCAGCCTGTTCACAGCTCCGGACCCGCACATAAAATATCCCGAGCTCGTGTATGTGTTGCGCATCCCGATCTCTGCTAGTATCGGCATACGACACGATTCCGGATGTAGGTTACCAAGAACTGTACCTTTAAAATGCATTGGGTGGAAGTCTATTGCCATGAGCTTCACCGAGGTTCCTCGAGGGACGCATAGGCGCAGGGGGCGACCAGACCCACAAGGCGATGTGCGAGGAGACACAGAGCTTGGGCCGAGGGTGTTCTTGAGAAGAGGTGATGGAGGCGCTGGGCTTACGGAACTTCTGTATAGTCACATGTTGAGGCTGGCAGAAGCTTCAGGCTCCTGTGCATTGGGTGACGGGAGGAGGGCAGCTCCTGCCACAGGGCGGGCGGGCATTGGGCAACGGGCGGGTGTTTTTTGTCTTGCACCTTCGGCAATTTTTGGCTCCGGGAATAGGGAGAGGGAGGGGCGAGCAATGAAGCGGCCGCGAGCTGAGGGAGGAGCATTCTTTTCTCGTCTTGGTCAAAGACGCGGTCGTCGAGCACGCACCCAGTCCCAGCCACTAGCCGAGGCGATAGGTCGCCATGCAGCCAGACCGATGCCTGCATTTCTGCCTGCTTGGAGACTCCGGGATCGGGCAATCGGCATTTCTGCAATGCTACAAGCACGCCTTGAACCTTGCCACTGGTGCCAGCAAGGACTGCCACTTTTGCTCTGAACGTGCCCCTCTATGATGTTCACCCTTCGCCAAAAAGGACTTCGCGAAGCATTCCGAACCCTTCGATGAACTACCCAACCTGGAGAGTATGGCAGGGCCTTCAGCAAAAAGTGGCAGCATTGCGAATCGCAGGGCCTTACGGCCAGCTGCAGGTGGCGATGGTGGAGCTGGAGGGGGAGCTCTGCCGCGTGCGCTTCACGGACGGAGCCGCGAGCCCTGCACTCAGAGTGGGCGCTGGCCGCGTGTCCGGACGGGCCCGGCCCCTTACGCTCTTCCCTCACTAATCGGGACCCCTCTGTTTTGTTGAGACTGTGCTTGAGTGACGGACGGACGAGGCCCGAGGTTCGAGAAGATGCAGCATGCTGCCATCCATGCCTCGCACGCGCAGCCCTAAAAGGGGACAAGGGGATGCTGTCGCGCCCGGGCCGGCCCCGCTGCATCAGAGCACGGTGTTGCAAGGTCATCTTGCTCTGTTTTCGACCGGACAAGCCGGAGACCATGGCCAGCGTCAAGAAGAAGTGGCTGCAGCCGCCTCACAAGTAGCAGCTTCTCGTGACATCTCGCCTGTATCTATATAGAGTACCGTCGAAGAAGACACACACCCACACCCACACAGACTCCGCCGGAGGCCGCTGCTCTGGCAGATGAACTCCGAGACTCCTTGGCTGCTCGTCTCCTTGCAGACGGACCTGCGCGAGCGCTCCAAGGCACGCACTTCGAGATCGCCTTTCGACTTTCGCAACGCTTCGCGCAGGTGGCGGGAGATCAACTGCCCATGGCTACCTGGCAGCAGGGATCTTCCAGCGCCCTTGACTCAGACGTCTTTCTGCAAGGTGGCCCCGGAAGAAGCCGAAGCCTTCGTCCAAAGCGCGCGAGCTCAGAGTTCTGTGGCGCTTGGGGCCGGCGTCGCTTACACGAGCCCAGCTTGCAGGATATGGCGGCTGGGGATATATGGAGTGCTCCGCTTTCTTCCCCGACACCGTCCAATTGGTTGTGGACGAAGCACTGAATGCCGCGAACACCTACTACGGGCCTTCTCCCCAAGATTCCTTTTTCCAGCTGCGCAGCTCCCGCTCGGAAGATTCCGAGGCTGCAGTGGCAGCTGCTTCCTCCGCATGTTGCAGAGCCGTCCTTCAGCCCAGTTTAGGGGGGGGGGCGAGTGCGAGTCAGTGCGAGTGCTGCGAAGGGCAAACGTGAGTGCGAGAGAGGAGCGACGGGGAAGCGAAGCCGTGCTGGACAGCTGCGCCGGTGCCGGGAGAGATGGATCTGCAACTTGGCTGCCGAGCAGCAGGCCGCTTCTCAGCGCAGCCGCCGTTTTCACAGGTGGCTGCCTCACGAGACCTTAACCGTGCGGGACGACCCCGTGCCAGTCACAGAGGAGCCGAAGCGGAGCCTCGCGACTCTAGCAGAATCCAGCACTCGCAAGGCGCGCCTGTGCTGCTCGAAGCTGGCAGGAGCAGGTTCGTGAGGGTTTGTCGCAGATGGGCGACACGGGAACCCGGCAACATGCCTACGTCCGGCTGGGGCCTTGACGGCCCTCGGCCTCCGGACATGTGTGCGTGATGTGTGTTTTGCTGCCTTTGCTGCTTTGCGAGGTGCGATCTCGCCGGCATGAACCTCACCTCCTTGGTGAAGATCCGGCAATGGGAGCAGCTGCAGTTTCTGAACGCGACCTGCCTGCAACTCATGCTCTGCTCTCTCCCCTCGCTCTTTTAACACGGATACCGCGCTCTCCTCCAACATTTTTCACTCTGAGACTGTGTCTCCTTTGCCTCTTCCTTGGTTCTTGGCTGTTGCTTGGAAGACCTTTTTTGTGCCACTGTTTCTTCTTGGCTGTTGTTGTTTGTTTTTCGGGGCGGCGGAGAGCGGCCGGTTGATGGGCGGATGGGCGTGTGCTAGAAAGAAAGACAACGACAAAGCAAGACAGAAAGGATCACAGAGAGAGAGAGAGACAGAGAAAGAAGCAGCCAAGCCCGAAAGGAGCCGCAGCTTGACAGACGCGAGCTGTTGTGAAGTAGCCCCTCGGGCCGTTGTGCCGGCGGGCTCCCATACCCCCAGCAAGCAAGCAAAGGAAAGAAGGAACGAATGGAGGAGAGAGAAATAATTAATGGATGAAATGAAGGAAGACAGATGGAAAGAGAAGACAGAACACAATAAGAAATCTGAACTCAACGAAATATAGACGTAACGAAAGAGCGATCGAACAGAATACAGAAAGAAGAATGCGCAGCAATAACGAACGACATCAAGAAGCAACATGGTAATCGCAGCAACACCCTCCAGCTTTGTAAGAGCACTCCTACTTCCATCAAGAGCGATGATGAGAGCAGCAAGGCTGTACATACTAATCAAATCAGAACCTTACAGCTTTAGTTTGTTTGGGATGAAGCAGAATCTAAGGTGTATCAGGCATTATGAGGTTATACGGTTATACGGCTACAGGATAGTCTACACATAGTAAACACAGATGTGGTACACTATGATATAGTACGGCAGCATAGCCTCATGCGATTTGAAATGAACATATACTGACACACGGCGTTTTGGTGCTTCATGTTGAAGTCAATGTACAGCATAAGGTCAGGGTAAGGCACACTATGCAACATTTCAGTAGGTTACTTTGTCCTAGGGTTTGTAAGTTACGCTGTAATGGAGGTATCCGGGTGTTGTGTTGCAGTTCCTTCTAAAAATTGCCGCCTGCCGGGCCTTGGGGTTCTTGAGTGGTTTTTTTCTTGTTGATGTCGTCCTCTTAGGCGAGCCCTGCGGAGGGGCAAGCCGCCCCCTCCCTCGCAACGCTCCCAATCCCTCGCTGAAGCCAAGCCTAGCCATCTTTAAGACTGCTCCCTGAACCTCAGCACCATGGCTGCTCCACAGATTACATCCCAGGAGGGTGCGCGTTGCTTTGCTATCCAGATGAGGCAGTAAGACCGACCAGGACACGCTTACTTTAACAGAATTTGAATCTTACTGCAGTGGTACCTCAAGTTGGACTGTATTACCTCTCTGTGTCACGTTAAACTTTTTTGCTACAAATTATACAGCATAAGGTCATGGTAAGTCACATTGTGCAACACATGAGACTGCGTTGTATGGTGTATGTTTGTGTTTCGTCGTAGCATCATTTTGTTACATTGTAGATATACTCATACAGGCTGCCTACCCCCGACGATGATGAAGGCAAGAAGATTCTGTATCCACCAGGCCTCCCCCGCGCCCGCAAAACCCTGTGCAACCTCCCCCCTCCTCCCCCCAACACCTCCCGCACGCACCCCTGCCCCTAATTTCCCCTCAAGAAAAACTAAGAATGGAAAAGAAGGGGCCAAGAAGAGATGTCTCCACGTTGCTTGCCGCACTTTGAGGTCTCCCGGAATCGGCTGCGGGGCTTGGAGCCCATCGGCGCCCTGAGACATCTGCTGCACCTGAACGCCAGCCACAACCTTCTCATCAGGCCGCTTCGTTCACGTTGTCAGACTTCCACTTACATGTGAGCTGCCAGGAGTCAGAACTTCACTGCACCGGACGGGCTCGAGACTTGTGACATGTCTTACAACATGCTGGCGGAGCTCGGAGATTGGAAAGTGCATCGCTTCCTGCGGGAGCTCAACCTGCGCCAGTGGCTCAGGGAAGGAATGAAGGAAGAAGCCGCCTCACCGGCTTAAGCTACACTAGCTCCCTTCTTCGCTTTGCTTCCTCGCTTCCTGAGGAGGCAACTACATCGGCTACATCGGCAATGGGCTCTTGGGCAATAAGGAGCTGCGCCTGTTGGACCTCTCCGAGAACTTGATCCTTCAGATTCGGAATTTGGAGCACCTGGAGCTGCGGACGCTTAGCCTGGCACAGAACAAGCTGAGCTCCGTCGAAGGTGTGCAGTCCCTGACGAAGCTTCACAGCCTCGATGTGCGACACAACAATATCACCACCATCGAAGCCCTGCATGCCCAGGACAGGAAAAGGCTGTGTAGGGCTTGGCTTGTGGCGGCAGCGCATCCGGCCACCGGCTGGGCTTCCAGGACATTCCTCGCTTACGCAAGCTACGGGTCTCGGAGAATCGGATTTCGCAAATGAGGCCTTTACAGAGCCGTATTTTGAGCCGAGCGGCATAGAGCCGAGGGCTTTTCCTCTCATTCCGCTGAGCTGCTCAGGGAGGTGGACCAGCTGGCGGATTTCCGGTTCCTGAGCGAGCTCTACCTGAACCCGAATCCCGTGCCCGGCGCTCACGAAAGAGAAACCAAGAGAGAGAGAGAGAGAGATGCTGCTAGCTCCACCGCGCTCGCCGCGAGCCTGCATGCAGCCCATGCTCCTGCGGCCTCTGCTCCCCAGAAAGTCTCCAGTCCTTGAGGTCCCAGCTGCCGCAGTACCGCGCCCAAGTCCTGCACCGCCTGCCGCGGCTCCGGAGCCTCGATGCCGAGCAGGCCCGGCCCACAGGAGGTGTCTACATCTACATCTATATACAAATATGTATACATACAAACATATGTATATATATATATACACACACATATATATATATATACATACATATTCTACACATACATATATATATATACACACACACATATATATATATATACATACATATACACACACACATATATATATATATATATGTGCGAGCCTACATCTAGCTTTGGGCCTGGGGCCTCTAGAACTTGGAATTGCTTGCTTGCTCTCTTCGTGCGCGGCGACCTCGAGGTGAGCCCCGAGGAGCGCGTGAAGACCGAAGTGATCTACGGCACCTCCTCTTTTTGCTTTGTGCCGTGGGGGTTTAATGGAGGTTGTTTGGCGCAGCAGTCGAGGTGCCGATGTGGAGACGCGGCGGGAGATCTTCGAGCAGCTGCTGCCCGAGGAGACCTTTGTGGACCGGCGCCTCCTGACCGAGGCCCCCGCAGCTCTGGCAGCTCTCTCTGGTTGCTGTTAGCCCCAATTTCGGTGAGGCCGGCATCGCCCTGGCGGAAGTGGAGGAGTTCGGCCAAAACGGCGATGCTGGGCCCTTTGGCCACTTCCTGGTGGGACCGACCTTTGGAGATCCTCCCAGGACACGAGTATGCTATGCCGAGCTGTCTGACTGACAGGATATCTCTTAGAATTTTCGGTCTCGAAGGTTTTTCGAAGGTCTCAGGTCAGGCTCTGCTCTGCAGGCTGCTGAAAGCGTCACCGATGCGGCGCGGCATTCGGGGTTTCCACGGGGCCGGACAGCTTTCCGACTTCTCGCCTGGGGTGGGGAGGGCCGATCTCCTGCTCCGGCGTTGCTTATGCTGTTGGGGGGGCATAGTACCAGCAAACTTCCAGAGAGGGCTGCCGATGTGCATCCGGCCTACACTGAGCTCGGCGATCTCTTGCAGCAAGCTGGGGAAGCTGCGAGCGAGGGAGGAGTCGGGTCGTCGGGGCCATTGCTTCACCTGATATTCCTGTCGCTTTTTCAGGACGGGGGGGGGGGGGGGGGNNTCAGAGGGGGCCGGATGTGGTTTTTGCACAGCCCAAGCTGGAGCTGCTCCTCGGTGCGTTGCGTTAGGCTTTCCTCCACGGAGCTAAGAATCCAGAATCTAGCTTTCCGTTTTATGCAGCCGTCAGTGGACCTGGGCACTCCGCAGTGCCTGCTCTCTCGGGGATTCCTTCCACGCTTCCTGGCAGTGCTCCTGTTTTGAGCTTGGCATGTTTAGTGACTGAAGGCTTCGGGCTCCAACATGCGAAAGCACAGACCTCAGGTCCCTCTCTCCCTGGTGTCCGCTGGCGTTAGGTGTTAAAGGCTCGATTTTTGTGCTGGGCGAGGGTTGCGAAAGGCCGCCATGCGGTAGGAGCCCAGTGTTGTGTTGGCATATGAAGTTCAAGGATGTTCAGGGTGCACTTCAGCTCCGCTCAGGCGGAGGGTCCGTGTGTTGGAGCAGGGGTGGCGCGGCACCGATGATGATATAACAATCCATGGCGGATTGATATTGACAAGGGCTGACCTGATTACACCATCATCAACATCATCATCATCATCATCATCGTCGTCGCATGGCTGGCTACCGTGCCATTGACTGTTGCAACCAGGACACGGACTGAGTATGCCGACTCTCGCCGTTCGAGCTATACTGATGATCCTTATGGGAATGCTTCGAACCTGCTTCTTTGATACTGGTTCTGTCTGATTGTGGGCAGGACACGACTGCAGTACGGCAAGTTCCGTCAGCGGCTGGAGCTGACAAGACTGGGTGGGACTCCAGAGGCGCGTAGTGACATGTGGAGCTCCTTGCACACAAAGCTCCGCCGCTCTTCTTCACCGCGAGGGCGTGGCGGACTTCTCGAATTATCCTGCTCTCTATCAGAAGACGGCCGCCTTCGATGAGGACCTCCGCGAAATCCTGGAGGCGGACAAGGGGAGTGGAAGTTTTTCTTACAGCTCCCGTCGCAGCGTTTTGAGGCCGTCGCCGAAGGCGGTTGTGAGGAGCTTTTGCTGGGCGAAGCCCAGATCACGCCACAAGGCAGGAGTTGAGTTGCCCTCACTTCTTTGGGGGCTTGGGTGCTTTTGGGTGGCGCGAGGCATTCGCGACATCATAGCCTTCATGCAGGATACGCCCTGCAGATTATGCCCGGGTCCCGAAGAGGGGGGGCGCTGAGAGTTGAGAGGGCCTTCGTCTCCCAGTTCTCACAGGCCGTTCGGGCCGCATTCGCCTTTTGTATCCCAGGAGTCCCCACGTCATGTAAAGTTGCTCGTATGCTCGTAGTCCGAAGCTTGCCCCACAGGACGTGACGTGCAGTTCTCCAGTTCGTCGCGAGAGTCTAAAGTCTAGAGCGAAAGGACGAAGACGTCTTGATGTTTACCGTCCCAAACGAAACGAATAGAGAATAATAGAGATAAACAGAAAACGAATCCCTCCGGCAAACAGAAAGTCGGAAGCTGCAGACACTCTCAGCCCCATCACCATGACTTCGCCCAGAACAGGTGATTGCCAGAAGCGTCAAACTTCAGCAGCCTGCGGGGAAGGGCCGAAGGGATCTAAACTAAACCCGGACCGACTTTACAATTTCAGGGCAAACGAAAGGTTGGAGGTTCAGCGCGAGGCTTCGCTGGTAGCAAAAAAACACGCTTGCAGGTTTACATCCTTGCCTGGCTCTTGTGTTTCCGGGGGTCCGTCTTGACTTTGCCGTCGCCTCTTGCTCATCCTCGTTTTGGTTTCCTCACTCTTCAGTGCAGCGTCTCTTGAAATTTTCAATTTTGGACTCCTTTCCTTGTGACTGGAAGTGAGGGGCATAGGGTAGGCGAGCTTGTGTACAGTGCATTATAATTCATCTCGCAATCGACGTCTTGGCTCAAGGCCAATAGCAGAGGCATAAAAAGTGCATTCATGGTAGGTGGGGGAACACAAGGTGAAGAGATGTTGCTAAGACTGCTTCAAGGGCAACAAGAGCAGCTTCAAAGGTTGCAAGAGATGATGGGAGCCCAGCTTCATGGGCAGCAGCAGCTTGCGGCTGCAACTCAGAACATGGCCTCATCTACTCAGGGGGCTTCGAGACCAAGGGGGCTCATCGATGTGAAGGCGGTGGGTCGCCCAAACTCACTTGGGGGTTCTCTCGAGGAAGCCTCGAGGAACTGGAGACAGTGGAACTTCCGGCTAGAACTTTGGTTGGCTAGCCAGGTCCCAGAAGCTCGGAAGATCTTATCTTGGGCCCGTGAGAAGGGCGATTCGGAGATTACCTTGGCGAGCCTGGGGTCGACTTCGATTCCTGGCGTCACCAAAGAAGCGGTTCCCGAATTCAGCCGGCAGCTTGATGTGGTCCTGGGGACCCTCACGAATGAAGCGCCCGCTGACATCACGATGAATAGCTCGACGGGCTCAGGGCTCGATATGTATCGTCGTTTGCATGTGCGGCTGGACCCTGCGGGCATGGTGACCTCTATTAGGTGGCTTCGGTCTCTTATGAGCACCAATTGGTGGACGCGGGTGCCTCCGATCGAGAGTGGGAAGACGCGCACAGGAGGTACAGCCAGCGCAAGGACTGTACCGCCCTCACTGAGCAGCAGAGGATGGTGTCGCTGCTCGGCCTTGCGCCTTCGGACCTCCAGGGTCACTTGGAGCTGAACCTTGAGAGGCTTACGAGCTACGAGTTGCTTCGTCGGGAGATGGTGTCACTTGCGGATACCAAGCGTGCCTTTACCGCCACCGATGGGGCCGTGCCGATGGAAGTCGATGCTTTGAAGGGGACCAAGGGGCCCAAAGGAAAGGGAGGAAAGAAAGGCGACGGCCACCGAGGGAAAGGTGGCAAGAAGGAGGACCGGGAGTGTTTTATATGCTCCAAGAAGGGTCACCTAGCTAGGGACTGTTGGTACAAAGACAAGGGTAAAGGTAAGGGCGCCGACGCGGCCAAGCTAAAGGCTCAAGGCAAGAAGGGTAGTAAAGGGCGGCACCAGGGGCGAGCTCGCGAGCTCGAGGGGACGCCATGGATGATGGCGACGCTGCTTATGAAGCAGAGGAACCCGATGAGGAAGCCGAGCTGGGTTTCGTAGGTGCCTTGGAAGGCGAAGGCTCAGCCGGGGACAAGGACGAGAAGGAAGAAGCCAACAAAGAGGGCACCGGGAACGTCGCTCCTTGCCCGGGGCAGGGAGTTCTACGGACCGGCCCCAGGCCAAGGCGAAGGCAGGCTCTACGAGCTCAACGCCGGTGGGGCTTCGGATGGCGAACACTAGTGTTCTCAACAAGCTCCAGGAGCGAGAGAGCTCGAGGAGAGTCTGGAAAAGGAGCAGGCCAAGGGCAACGATGCCGAGCCTGGCGAGATCTGCAAACTGAGGTTGATGCTGGACCAAGCGAAGGACCAGATCAAGCGCGCCCAAGAGCTGAAGAAAAGCAAGGGCGAAGGAAAGTCGGCTCGACTCAAAGCCGATTTGGCGGCAGGACGCAATGCTCGCCTAGCCAAGCGTAAAGGGAAAAGCCGGCAAAGGGCCACCCTGCACCGACAGAGTTTGCGAAAGGCCCAAGCCGAAGCAAGAGTTGGCCGAGAGGAGGCCCTAGAGCGAAGGCACGGAAGCAGGACGAGTACCCTCTGCTACCGGAGGCCGGGGCAAGGTTGCCGCACCTCCCTCTCGAAGGGAGAAGGCCATGATGAGGGGCCGTCCTGAAAGGGAGCACCCGGGCGATGAGCTCGATGAGCCCAAGGAGCGGGACTGGACCGGCCCGTGAAAATGACGCCAGAAGGTCGCGAAGGAAAGAAGAGGCGAGAGGCCCGAAGGAAGGCGCGGCGCAACAAGGAGATGCGGCGTCTGGCAGGTAGCTGCTTCGGCCCCTGCCAAGCAAGCGAAGGGCTCAAGGAGCGGAAAAGCCCAATGAACCAAAGGGCCCTCCTCCGAAGTCCAAGGCGATGCCGATTCCAAACCCTAAGACTCAAGAGGATTTGGTGGAAGCGGTTTTCACCTTCAAGGACGGCACTGGAGCGACGGTGAGGGTTCAGGGAGCACTGGACCCCAGAGAGAAAAGGTGCGCAAGGCACTTGCAATAGCACCGTGGCGGCTGGAGCCTGGGCCTAAAGCTGAACCAGGCCAGAGGCCGACGGTGAACAAGCGCAGCCAGCTGTTCTCTCGGGCAGTGAACTACCTGACGGGCCACCGACCAGCCGTGGCAGAAAGTTCGGAGGAAAGGGTTGGCAAAGCGGCAAAGCAGTACCGAGGTGCAGCCTGGTTTCGGCAAAGGGTTGGCAGCAGGCAGAAGATGCTAGCCTTGGGTCCTCGTGGGACCGCGGGCGAGGAGCTCGTGCGGGCAGCGCTCGACGGGGAGAGCGACTGTGGCTCACGCCACAGCCGGCGGGTATTCGCTTTGAAGGGTTTCCTGTGGCACTGCGGAAAGGCGAGACGCTGAATCAGGGAAGGCCAGAGCAAAGCGGGAGTGTTTCAACCAACCTCGCGGTAGCTTTAGGGGAGCGCACTGCCAGTGTACAGAGTAGCCACTTTGGCGCGGTAGGAAAAGGTAGTGTTTTTCACCTGCCTAGGCCCCTACCCGTAGCTAGTTCTCCCGACTACTTTTTCATAGGATCCGAAGGGGAAGAAGGAGAGGAAAAGAAGGAGAAGAACCCAACGCGCAAAGCTAAAGGAGAAGAGGAGAAGAACCCGACGCGCAAAGCTGGAGAAGAAGGGAAGAGTCCTGTGCAGCTAAGGTCTGGGTCTTTGTACGTAGGCAAAGGATCTGGGTCGTCGAAGGGAGAAGCCGCTTCGGCTTCTGCCCAGCCACCGGCTGAGGAAGAGGGCTAGCAAGCCCGACATCTAGCACGACCAGATCGGCCCACGCCTGAAATGATAGCAGCTCACGAGGCGTCCCACGTGCCCTACAGGAGTTGGTGCCGTGCCTGCGTAGCTGGTCGGGGTCGTTCCTTCCAGCACAAGGCGTCAGGTCAGGAGTCCACTGTTCCGGTTGTGAGCATGGACTACCTCTACTTCAACGAGCGGGCAGACCTGGATTGCCGACTGTGGTCTTGAGGGACCGGCATTCGAAGGCTATCTTTTCGCACCTCCTGCCGTGCAAGGGCACCACCGGGTCGACCTACCCTGAGCGTGCTGTTCTTAAGGACCTAGCCTTTCTGGGGTACAAGAAACTGGTCCTGAAGCACGACCAAGAAGCTTCTATCAAAGCTCTCTCCCTAGCTGTTCGTAACGGCTTCTCTGTGGAGATCATGCCGGAAGATTCACCCAAGGGGGACCACCATGGCCAGAGCAATGGTGAAGCCGAGCGGTAGTTCTCGGATTGGTGAGGACTCTGAAGGCCAGCTATTGACCCTTCGTCATCCGTGCTTAGCCTGCATGGTGGAGTACGTGGGTACCCTCCACACGCTGTTTAGCCAAGAGCTCCACGAAGCTAAGCGCTTACGCCATTCCAGCGCATAAAGGGGAGGAAGTGGCAGGTTGCATTCCGTGCTTCGGCGAAGCAGTGGACTTCCGCCTCAACACCCGGTCCAAGCTGGATTCAAGGTGGCAGTCCGGTGTGACCTGGAGACTCACGGGTACACGGCTGGGTGTGAAGCCTGTGCTGCCATATGCGCGAGCAGGCATCAACCACAGCGAGCACTGTCGCCAGAGGGTCACCGAAGCCATGAAGGAAACTACCTCTGGGCGAGCAAGGCGGAAAGGGAAGCTCAGCGCGAAGCCGGGTTCTTCGAGAAGGTGCACCAGGCAGAAGAGAAGAAAAGGAAGGTGAGCTCACCGAAGAGCCACCTGAAGGAGCAACCTCAGCAAGTTCGGCGGCGAGGCCTCTAACCGCTAACCATCGCTCGTCAGATCCCTCTTGACCCAAGCGGCCAAAGGGGAACCAGCTCTATTCAAGGAGGCGGTGCAGCTGCTTCAGCTGCGCCCCCATCGGGGCAAAAGAGGAAGAGCGAGGATGAAGGGGACGAGAGCCGTGCTGAGCTAGCACCTCCTGACCAGAGGTCTGAGGCTCAAAAGCGCAAGGCGCCTGAGGATGCCGAGGGCATGATAAATGAATTCATTGCCCAAGATCGAGAAGGTTTCATTGCCAGCATCGAGCACAAGGAGCGTCCTACGTGCGACTTGGAGGACGACTTGCGGGAGGAGGAGTTCTACGATCTACGATGGCAAGGAGCTGCCACCCGAAGGTGTCAGAAGCGCACGCATGGAAGAGATCGAGGTAATCAAATCCATGGGTGTATGGGAGCCCATCGACAGGCCACCCGGTGAGAAAGTTATCGGGACTAGATGGGTCGACATCAACAAAGGGGACAGCCTCCACATGAAACTGCGATCAAGGCTTGTAGCGCAGGAATTCAAAAGAAACAAAGGAAACAATGAGGACCCTGCGTGGACCGACTTTTTCGCGGCCCATGCCACCGTTATCATCGCTAAGAGCGCTATTCCCGCTATTCACCATAGCGACCAGCGAGCGTATACCGGGCTCCGACGGGCGACCAGCTTCGGTCAACAAGAATGGGGAAGTCTGCATCCTCTTCGTGGATGTGAAGAAAGCTCATTTTTGGAGTCCTGTCCGGAGGCGGCTGCCTGCTAGTCGAGTTACCAGCAGAAGCTGGAGAAGGGCCAAACAAGGTCGGCTTACTCAAGCGAAGCTTGTACGGCACACGAGATGCGCCGAGCAACTGGGAGCATGCGATAAAGAAAGTGATGACGGACCTGGGATTCGTGCAAGGCATCTCGGACCCATGCCTTTACTTTCATGAGCTGCATGACCTCCGTTGCAACGTCCATGGGGACGACTTCACTGTCGTCGGTGGATACGACAAGCTTCAGTGGCTGATCGAGGCTCTTAAGAAGGCGTGGACCATCGAGGTCAGAGGCATCTCGGCACGGCCCGCTTCGCGCCTGCCAGGTGTAATCCACAGCATATCTGTGCGGTCACGTGAACCACGGGGTTGAGATGGAAGCAGACCCAAGGCATGTTGACTTGGTGCTGGAGCACCCGAAGTTGACGCAGGCCAGTCCTGTGACCACTCCTCTCGTGAAGAGCACAGGTGATGAGGATGAGACGCCTCTAGACCGGGAGGAAGCATCACTCTACAGGTCAATAGCAATGAGGATCGGCTACCTCTCCAGTGACCGACCAGACATGCTACGGACAGTGAGGGAGTTGGCAAAAGGCCTCAAGGAACCAACTCAATACCACTGGGGCCTGCTGAAAAGAGCCGGACGGTATCTAAGAGGGATGCCTCGGCTGGTTCAGCTCATCCCTCACCAGGAGTTCTTTGCTTCTATCCAAGGGTGGAGCGACACCCACCACGCCGGATGTGTCCGAACCAGGAAGTCGACAACGATCGAGCGGCGTCAGAAGGGACGAGACTCCTCGATCCGGACGTTGAGCTGTCCGATCTCGGAGGTCATGATTGTGTGCGTTTGGATTAAGTGCACAGTCCCGCCTGCGCGCACCTGTTTTGCCAGCTCGAGATCAGACATGGCGAGGCTAGTCACTACTTGGTGCTTGATGAATCAAATGACTGCCACAGTACAAGGCAAGAACACAAACACACACACACACACATGCACACGCAGAGCACTCGAAACTCGGTTTTGAAGTCACTTGCGCTGACCGAGTCACCGGCTGGATTCATTCACCCAATCGCCCAGCGACCCTGTTATGCCATGTCGGCACAACCCACTAACGAACTAACAATTTCCACAACCAAGACTGGCCCAGGCAGGTATTTCAAGCAAAGCTGTTACTCCCAGCTGAAAGTCTTGATTCACCTCCTGCCAGCAGCCCAGGTCCGGGACTGTGGCTGGGCCAGTGTCGGGAGACATTTCGACGTTACGTACTTAACTTCCAATTCCAGCAATGTTTCAGTCATATACTCACGATCCTTGAATGGAGCGTAGAAGGCTCGGTGCTGGATCCACCTGGCAATGGCGCTTTCCATAGTCATCGACGCAAATGCCAGGACTAATGGCCAATAAGCACCACAGGCGAATTGGCCTTCTGGGGCGGCCACGCTTCCAAACACCTGGACCAGGGAATGATTCATCAGACAACTGCAAAACAGTGGCACTCGGCCTTGCATCATCGACTGTGCTTCTGGTTTTGCCGACGCCCTCGAGACTCTTTCCCACGGTGCCCCTGAAGCCCTTGCCATTGGAGCATTTGAGCGGGCAAAGACGCTCCTGAAGCAGCGTCCCTTCGATACCTTCTTGTTGATTGCCTTGCCCTTGCTGCCGTTCTTACCCGTCATGCCACTTTGCCCCTTGGCACTCTGTCTTTCGAGGGACTCGTCGTCTTCACGGTGCCAGCAAGACAGAATCTGTCTGAAAGTTGAACTGAGGCGGCGCCAAGTACTCTTGAACTCATTAGTTCTTTGTTCTGCGTCAAAG